AGAAGTCCATGATTCCCAATTAGCTATGGATCCTTTTTTGTACTCAATTGATCTTGAAGAAGAGCTCGAGAGCTCAATTGTGATTGATGACTTGTTAATCAATTGCTTAGTTGATGAGATTAGTAATGTTGGAAATGTTAGTGGTGGATTAAATCTGACATTGTCCTGTGATAATGTGGAAGAAACTTTCAATTTTCTAGCTAAAATTCTTGATTTTGATATGAATATAATGAAATGTTGGTTTCTCATTAATTCCATACTCTCAGAAGCCCATGTCTTTTTATGTCTACTTTACTTCAAAGTTTCAACATATTTGATGCCATTAACCTTCAATCAAACTTTAGCATCTTGATAGCATAATAAGGTCCTTTCTGCCACCTTGGCGTCAAACAAAGTTTGGTTGGTTTAATGAACAAGTCATCATTTTGGGGACATACTATTAAAGAACGGTTGGTATGTGAATGATTAACACTGTCTATAGGATTTGCCGACCCCAAAAAGGAAAAAAAGAAAAGGGTTTTTTTACCAAATTACTGCCCTCTTAAGAAGAGTCTTGTGATCTAGTAATTCTTGATCGATAAAGATACTTTTTGTTATTATGCTTGTATAAAAGTTGACATACACAAATAAAATACGAATCATATATTGAGTAAAATAACACAATTTATGTTTGCTCACCAATTTTTAAAACCATTACACTTATTACATAGTATTGCACCATGAATAATTTTTTGTTTTGAATACAACAATTATACTTGATTCTATACTAGGAGGAGGGGGACGGGAACGGGGACAGTAACAAGTGTAGTAAAATACCCTCTGATAGTGAAATCAAGAAACTGGCAGATGATACAGTAAGATAATGTATTTAAGGTATCCTCTAAAAGTAACGTCAAAAAACATGGCAAATGATGCATTAAGATACATGATATATAAGTTGGGGATTAGATCCCACCTGCACCTAGGGAGGGACTAATCCCTTTTCCTAGTGGCGACTGGGCTAGAACCCAATGGTTACCACGAACAATTGTGCTTGCGTGAAATCGCATTTCATGTTGTTTGCTTTGACGTGTAAAGGCCAGTGCCGATCAAGGAGTGCGTGGTTTCGGTGGGGCTCGGTCACATCTGCTGGCGTGATGCATGACCGGCATGTATTAACACGCCGGCCAAGTCAAATTCTACACGGCCAGGTCCTTAAACAACCGTGGTGGCTGCCCGATCTTGACCGGAGCATATTGGCCCTGTTGTAATGGGAAGGTAATGACTTTAGATGAAGTCAAGTCACTCAAGTCAACCCCTCTCATTCACACTCATCCTCGTGTGAACAAGGAAGACTTCTATCATTTTCATTTTTGGGTTTTATATAAATAAAGACTTTTGGTGGTCAATGCCTTTTAGGCTTTTCGTGACATTGTATACCTATTCTAGAACAAAGAAAGAGAAGAACATCAATTATGGGAACGAAGTCAACGAATAATCCTCATTTGTTCCCATTAAACTATGACCAAATATGGTCAATGGAACTGGTGATACTTTTTGGAAGTATGGAGTTTGGCTGCCTTTAAGTTGACAAATTCTCTTAGTGGGTCAATTGGGTGTCCGATGACACCCGTTTTGCTATGCAGTATTTGTATGGTGTAGTGCAGGAGTGGTTGCAACTTGCAACTTACTACTAGAAAGTACAAGCTTGCTTTTTAAGTCTGGAGTTTATCCAAATTTGAACCAATCTTTTGGAATTCAATAAAAGGTGGTAGTAGCAACTCAATCAAGAGAGGCAGTAGGTTGCCAATTAGTTTTTCCCCCCAATCATTTTGTGGTCAAGGGGAAAGTGATTTGCACCTTTGATGGCTATATGCTTATCTAACATGAGAAAAGATTGCAACACAAATACATTAAGATTCTTTGTCATTTAATTTTTTAGTCCTTATATTAGCAAGTCATAATTGGGACTATAGTTAATTGTTATTATCTTACTATATATAAAATAGGAGGGAGGGATTTGGTGTAAAAAAATTATGTCATTTAATATATTACCTAATCTACCCTTACTTCTAAAGAGAATTATATTATTTTTAACTATTCACCTCTGTATAATTACTCCATATCTGTTGAATTAACCGTCACTTCTCTAATAAAAAAACTACCTTTTTTTTAAAAAAAAAAAAAACTACAACAGTTTAACTATTTTAAATTACTACTTTTCCAACAAAAAAATAATACTAATCATTTTTTATATCTTTTATTAGTAGAACACACATTGGGTGTACTTTCACCACTAGTTGCTATTATTGTTTGATAAGATTACAATTAACCCACAATATAAAGATCAAATTCTAGCTCTTTTTTTTTAAAAAAAAAAAAAAAAAAAGACAAACGGTAAGACTTATACTATTTTATTGTAAGGAAGGAGAACTCAGTTGAATTATATACTGGATTAGAGAGGAAAGGCTAATCTAGTCTAAATAGGTACATAATTACACATTCTTTGGATTTTTTTTTTCAGTGCAGTCTTTTAATTGGAGTTTGAAGGGGTTTTAACATCCAACCTACAATTAAGAGAGAAATTTTAAATTCATCCTAGTGGTCAATTTGCCTTTGACAAATTGACTAAAATCAAATTATAATTCAATAATTGCAAATTACAACTCAACAACATTACGAATTATTGCATAAATAATGGTCGAACACTAACATTTAAATTCATCCTAGTGGTCAATTTGCCTTTGACAAATTGACTAAAATCAAATTATAATTCAATAATTACAAATTACAACTCAACAACATTACGAATTAATGCATAAATAATGGTCGAACACTAACATATAATCAGATGTCGCGTAATAAAATTTGAATCCAAAACCTCAAACTCTCGATACCGCAATTTGGATTATCCAAATGCGGTCTACTTGGCTAGTTGCAACAAACGAACTTGTTACAACACTACTACTATTTACCACAGCCTCATGCTCAACTTTAGCCTGTGTGAATGAGATAGTGGAGGATGAATGTCAACCCTCAGTCACTCCTTTTTATTCCAAATCCAGTACACATTCATTCCTCTATCCAGACTTCAATCTGTTCAACATGGCAACTGGGATTCCACTGACTTAAGCAATGACTTCAGCCAATCTTTGTTTGTAAAATCTACTCGTACCACACTTAGTGCGCATGCATTCGAATTATTCTCTGGATCTCCCTATTCTTTTATCTTATCATGCATGATCCTTTGCGTAGCCACACCTTCGTGCTTCATATGCAGGGCGTGTTAGAGGCTCACAAGGGAGAATGATAAAAGGGCGGTATATACTTTTTTAACATTTGGAACTAGCACCTTCAAGAACACTTGTGGTCCACCAAATACATGGTATACAGTTCGAAAATGGATCGCAGATGTGAACTGATATAAACCTTTGTTTTTATATGATATTTTCATGTCATGAGTTTAAATATTCTACCTACCAATTTTAATTTGCACGTAATTTTTAGAGATTTTTTTAATGTGTAGGCTATGGAAATTTTGAAAATATTGCTATTCATTTAGTGAAAATTAAAGAGAATTAGAAGGGTCTTGATTAATCAAGTGTATGGCCAATCCATACAAATCCACATATATTTTAGGCGGTTTGGGTATTTGTATTGAACATCCATTACCCAACTTAAGTTAAAAAAACAAATTAACAAATTAAAATCAAGAAACAAGAAAAGACCAGCGACTATGTAATGAAGCCAAATGTGGGATCAAGCAAAACATCCCCTGGCCAATGTTTTATTCGGCAGACTTGTCCAAGTCTTATCTGTAGTTGCTTTCTATTCCGTGGCTTGAGCTTTTCTATAATATATACTCCCTCTGTCTCACTTTGATAGTCCTGATTCTTTTTTTACACAGTTTAATAAAAAATAGTTAACTTTGTTGGAACAATTAATTTAGGTAGCTATTTTTCTAAAATACCCTCACATTAATTAGAGTACAACTTTATGGAAACTTGAATTGATGGTAAAAAAAGAATCAACTCTCATTAAATAGGGTAGGTTTATAGTAACAACAACTTACATTGAATAAGGGTATTTTAGAAAAATTAAAATACAACTACATTCTTCAATTGGAAAGTGGACTACAACTTGGGACAGACGAAAAAGGAAAGCAAGACTATCAAAGTAGGATGGAGGGAGTACATATTAGCACAGTAGTATTTGCAATTTGTGAATTGTTGCTAAGTAATAATTGCAAACATCACATCATATCATATCATATCATATTAGAAATTAGATTTTTTTTTTGTTTACAATCTTTTAGGCGTACTCCTTTAATCATCAGGGTGACATCCTAATGTGCATCCTAGACTATATTGAAGCCAGATATGATCAACTAAAAATCCCTGCAAATTGTTGTTGTATCCAACTTGGACCAAAAATTGTTGCTTTGGTCTCTTAGTTTGGACCAAAGCTATACCCAGTTTGAAAATCCTTACCTGTATAAAAATAATAAGTTCATCCAAGTAATAGTGTGTATTTTAGTGTATTTGTATGTGTAAAAATAACGTATTTCAAAAGAACTTAAAAAGTGGGTGTGTGTTTGTATTTGTGAGTGTTTTAGTGTGTGAAAATATGTCTATTTATGTGAAAATGTGTTTATGTGTGTGAAAATTTTTTTTTGTATGTAAAAATGTATTTGAGAGAGTTTATGTATCAAAATCTATTAATTAATATATTGGGTCATATTTGGGTCATGAGTTTGAGATAATCCAATATGACCAAATCCAAAATTAACTCAATCTAAAGTTGGGCGGATTAGGTGTAACCTATTTAAATGAAAATCCAATATAACTCGCCCAAAACCCGCTCAACCGTCCCAATTGCCAGGTATAGTCATTGGGAATAGACCTTGGTCTAAAGTCAAATTCGACATGCAAAGCCAGTTAAACTGAATCAAATTTATAATTGCCCCACAACCTGGCTAGTGCTATGAACCTCAATTTGAATATATGATGTGCATTAAAGTATTAAAATCAATAAAGGAAATAAAAAAAGATCTATCACTATTGATAATTTCTAAAAGAAAAACAAATATATCAAGAAGTAAAAGAAAATTAGTACAAAAATATCGACTAATTCGTTGATTTTAACTGAAATTTTACAGCTCTGTTTGGATCCCCTGTTTTTGGGGTGTTTTTTAAAAACTAGTTTTTTAAATACAATAAAAATTCTTAAAAAGTACTCTAAAAGGTAATCTAAAAATTAGTTTAAATTTTTTTAAAATTTTAAAAAATATCTCAAAATATATTCTAGAAATTCTTCTACTCTTAAATATCCCAAATATTTTCGAAAAATATTTCAAAATACATTTTAAAAACTCTGCTACAGCAAAGTTTTTCAAAAACACCCTCAAAAACTGCTAGTCCAATGGATACCAGACTTGTCAATCGATTGGTCTCAGTTTAACCGGTCAATCCAAACAGGCTTCTAGAGTGAATGTTTGGCGGCTCGAAAATAGGTAAAAGTTTGGAACGATTCTGATCTTGCTATCCTGAAGCAGTGAAGGTTTTGTACTTCATATGTAGAGTTTTGGACCACCAATTGATGCAAGGCCCAGGTCCATTGAAGATTCAAGATCTTTATCTACAGCTTTCAGGAGGGTCCAAGTTGACAGTATGCTGTCTTGAAAGAGATAAATACCTGCAGAATCGAAGTTACAAAAAGTGTAGCAGGATAATGGGATAATTTCACAAACTCCCCTAAGGTTCTTTATACTTGCAGTGGGCTCCCCTTAAGTTTTGAAAATTACATATATCTCCCTTATTTGTATTATTTATGTAATAATGGAAGCCCAACAAGTTAGTCTTTTTTCTCCAAAATCCTAAATTGCCTTTTGTAGAAAAACTAAAAAAGAAAAATACAATATACTCAATTACTTTTTTCCATATTTTGCACAAATCTATTATCCTAATCCTTGACAAGTATCCAAGCATAAACTCTAGTTCTAAATCCAAGTAGCCGCCTAAAAGATTCTAAATTGCATATATAGCATCAATGCCTGCTATGCAAAAAAAAAAAAACACACACACACACATACCCTTTGCCCTTATTGACAACCAATTTTGTACTTCAAAATTAAATCTTAATGTCCCAACATCTTTCCAGTCTAATATAAAACCGTCATTATAACACTCATATGTCCTTAAAAATATTAACATCTAAGAAGTAAAGAATAAGTTCTACCTCTATAACAAAATCATAACCAACAATTACTAATCTAACGAAAGAAATCCTAATGCAAATTATTGACAATTTACAAAAAAATTTATTGATAATAGACAAAATATGACAAATTCCACATCTTTGGCCATTCTTCCTATTTCAATAATCAATTTTGTTATTTAGTTCTCTATCATTGCGAGCATCTTCATGTCCTTCTAGTTTGACACATAATTTGCTTCTGTGTTAATTTTACAATTTCAGTTTGCTAATACTCATAAAACTGAAGATAATAAAAAGATGGCATAGCAATATAATTTCTAGAAAAGAGAGGAGTGAAAATAGACACGAGCTAGAGATATATGATTTTGTTTTTGGTTTTGTAAATCTATTTCTTAAACTGTGAATTATCTATCAGGTAGAGGGCATTATAGATACTATACCATGCCAAAGGAGGTAAATGTAATTACTTAAACCTGAGCAGAACCAAGTGAAGTTGTTGGAAACCTCAAGGGTGGTTTATGAAATTATCCCTTGGCTAAAATTGATGTTTGAGTCCGTCATGATTTTTAGCCCATAACTTTAGCAATACACCTTTAATCATTGTTTTGAAAATTAGATCGGACTGATCGGTTCGACCAATCAGATTGCAAACCATTCATAGCTTTGCTTTAGTTCATATTTTGGGTTGATTGGACTTAAAATCCAGTAAGAACCGTTTGAACCGTGCAAACTGTTTGAACCAATTTTTTTTGTTTTTGTTTTTGTCTATTAAATTGGGAAAAAAAAAAAGAATAGGTTTTCCTTAACCCTAAAGACTAATTATTAAATGCCACATCCACTCAATTTTCTTCTCATTTTTTGCCTCTTTTCAAGTTTGTATCTCTATTTTCTATTTTCCTAACTTCCTCCAAACTCCAAGCTTCTTTTTTTTTTTTTCCTTTTTTAAGTTGCAATCTCTAAATCCTAAAAATGTGAATTAAAATTTAAACTCACAATATAACTAATTCCCATTGACGTAAATTTTGTATAATTTTATAAAATAGTGGTATTTTTGGGTTGGATTTAAGATTTTTTTTTGGTAGATACAATTGAGATTGAGATGAAATTCATTTGTTTCAACTTATAATTTAAAAAATTTATTTGTGAAAATTCAAGTTCTTTGAAAATATTAAACTTTTCATCATATAAAGTTTTAAATTAATCCATTGCATGCCACATTTTGTGCGTATATATTTATAAATTATTATTTAAAAAATGCATTGAACCGGATTAAATTAGTTTGACGGATTGAATTTCGACTCAAACATTCCACTAGTTCAATTAACAATCTGAGTTTCAAAACATTGTTTTTAATTGAAGAAAGTCCTAGTGTTTGGAATCCTAACGCTACAATTTTTCTGGAAGTCAATAACTAATTTTGTCTTCATCTTAGTCCAAAATTCAACAACAAATTCAGTGCAGTGAGTTGTGAGACTAAGACTTTGGAAAGATTATAGAAATTTGTTTTTATCCCCAGACTGAAATTGCTGTTTGAGTCCGTCACGATTTTTAGCCCATAACTTTAGCAATACACCTTTAATTGAAGCAAGTCCTGGTGTTTGGAATCCTGACAAATAGAGCTACAATTTTCCTTTGGAAGTCAACAACTAATTTTGCCTTCATCTTAGTCCAAAATTCAACAACAAATTCGGTGCAATGAATCATGAGACTAAGATTTTTGGAAAGATTATAGAAAATTGTTTTAGAAGGAAAATATTCAATGATGTGGATCATGACACTAAGATTTAGAAAGGGTTAGTTTGACAGGACAAGAAGCAGATACAGTTCAAGAGAAGTAGGAGGCGTCTTCCTTGTAATAGAATAGGATTTTCTTTTCTCCTAAAACGCCTTTTTGTAATAAAATAAGACTTCAAAAAAAATAACAGTAAGATTTTTGGAAAGATTATAGAAAATTGTTTTAGAAGTAAAATTCTTGTCTCAGCCACTAAACTTTTGCTGATTGTTTTAAAAGTAAAATTCTTCTATAACCGACTAAAATTTTGCTGACGGTCAGCGAAAGCTACAGGGACCTATTTGGACTAATAGAAATAAGACATGTAAGCTAGTGCTGCTCAAACGAATTTCTTGTGATGAGGATGATGTTTGACAGGATAGATCATAGAAATGCTAAAGTACCGCTAGTTTCTCTCTCCCAGTCTAACACGATTATATCCACTGTTACAACTTGGAGTGTGCCCAAATCTTAACCTTCTATAATCCAGGGAAAAAAATTAAAAAAAAAACTTACAACTTCCAATGTTGTTTGGGAATTACACAAATTTTTGTTTTCCTCCAACCAAGAAAGGAAAAAATATTATTTGCAAATATCTATCTTCTGCTTACCCAAAAAGAAAATATGTGAGATGCATCATTCTAAATATAATAAGAAAAATTGTTCAAAATGTCACTCATATTTTATTAAATGAAATTTTTTATTTTTTAAAATTGTTAACGTTATATCCTTTATAAATTCAAATTAGCAAAATTTAGTTTCAACTTAAGTTTTCAACCATTTTTTAGCCTAAAATCACTAGACGACCACATGCAGTAAATTTTTTATATACAAAAGGTTAGATTTCACTTTTCTAGTGAAAAAAATGAATATAGATTGAATAAAATCTCAACTTTTTAGGAAAAATATGGTTTGGGTCAGATCCACCTTTTTTAGAGGTAAAAATGAATATAAATTGGGTAATTCATTTAACTACAAATTAATCTTTTAGCCCCCAAAAAATGATCTTATGTGGGTCATGTGCTGGATTTAGGGTAAAAAAGTGCTTGAGTAATTTTCTTCAAAAACTCTCTAGAAAATGCAATCGTAACAACCTCTTAATGGCATAAAAAAACTATTGCAGTAACATTTCAATGCCCACTAATTTGAAAAGTAATAAAAATATTTGTCTTATAAACTTGTTCTATGAAACAAAAATGTCCGCTAAATTAATGATTGATGGTTTAACACCATTTCTATTTGCAAATGATAATGCTGATCGGCATAGAAGGCCAAAAGTCGAGACGCATAATATGCCAGTAAAATTACTTATATATTTTTTTTCAAACACGATAAATTTTATTATAGACCTACTCCTACTCTACACTAAGAAAAAGGGGTGGATCCAAAATGATCAATGGAAAACTCGAAGATGACTAAACTTTTATCGGACCGGATGAATGCCTTTGCACCCGTTGATAAAATTTTCAAGAGTAGTTGGTTCAGTAAAATAACCTATACATTGACTATGCAAGGCTCCTGCACAACTGATGACAAGGGGAAGAGCTAAATGATTAAGTAAGGCAGGAAGCTAACAAATGAGGTGTTGTGGCTACGGATCCCCGTCTGTCTTCAAGCACGAAACAAACAAGGCGACCCAAATGCTGTTAATGCTTAGCGGTACTCATATTTTCTTATTTTGGATATCCATCTTCTCATGATCTGAGTTTATCCACTCCTTTTATTGGTATATAGGTCATCTTATCGGGATGTGTGACAACCCCACCTTCTCTTAGGGCCTACCCTAGAAGTTAGCGGATCGCCTGCCTGGCTCTCGCCAGAACTCAATCACTTACATGAACTTCAGAGATAACATTATCATTGAACAACTGAACATTCACTCTTAAGTACCACTCCAATCAGCTTGAAACATAGATTTGTCCACTAAAAGAAACAAAATACTCGTTCTAAACATCCATTCTTAATATTACATCAACTCAAAACAGAAGATTCAACCATCTTAAAATACAAAAGAAAACGTGACTCCAATATATACACATAGTGATGGAATTTCCCAAAACAACTTTCCAATTCCATCCAATCACTTTTCAATCTCCAACTCCCGTAAGGAAAACAAAGCTAAAAGGGTGAGTTTACACCCGTGAGGTTTCCATGCAAGCAACAATCAATAAGCACTTAAATCAGTATACGGTGCTCGCATTAGAGCCACTTCAATGCGAGCACCAAACAATTACTTTTAAAAAGATACGGTGCTCGCATTAGAGCCACTTCAATGCACTACACACTCCACCGAACTCCTCCTTATAACCTCCAAAATAATAAACACTTCCCTCACTTGGATGGCCATATCAATATCAGTAATCTGCTACTCCATGGTAATACTCGAGTATACCGAAACACTTACCCAAAGCTACCGTCCTACCCGACCTGGCTCGAATAGTCCGTTGAACAGAGGGTTTTGGGGCCTAGTTTAGCTAGTGTGATAAGGTACACACATGGCTTACAGTCATGCACACTTACAATATCACTTGATCAATTATCAACCTTCAACCTCAACTAAGCCGAGTGCGATAAAGTACACCCTCGACTTAGAAGGTGAGGGACAATTGAAAACACTTCACAATGAATCACTTAGCAATATTTCATAATAAGCACATTTGCCATATAATTGCACTTAGGTACACATAAGCAGTTTAACACATAAATTCGGAAAACACTCACCAAAGATTTAAATGACTACTCTCGAGTCTCGAGTTGGTTTCCTGGTTCACGGCTACTTCCTGGTACAAGTTAATAATTCTAAAGTGAGTATTCATTTTACATACAACCACTCATCTTACATAATTTAAGGTTTAAGTAACTAAAACCCAAGTTCCTAAGCTTATAAAACGAATCACCAAAATCTAGCAACCTTCCTTACGTTTGTCTTCAAGATTACTAAGTTTGGTAGTTTTAAACAAGGTTAATGTACATATACACCAAATTTTAATATCATATAAACACTTGAGCTAAGATTAACTCATTTCCAATCTAATGTGCAAGGATTAAGACAAGCAAACGTTTCATTTCTTCCGTCTAGGCTAAAACAGATTCTTGTTTGACCTTAAAGTACAAATATAATATATTCAATATTCATTTATCATTTTATTTTGAAACTCATTGACTTTATTGTTTTAATCAAGAATTATACCTGTTTTTCCAAGTTAATAATTTATAAGATATTTATTTTAGGATTAAATCATTTTCCACTCAAGATTCTAAGATTACGGTTTAGGAGTACTTCATTGGTCCCCTTTTTAATTAATTAAACTCTAGGTTATTTGTAAGTTAAATTTTATTCCACTACACCAGTCCCTCAAATTTTATAGTCTTTAAAATATTTGTGAAGACAATATTAAGTAATTAGAAGCCAATTTAGGTACATAATTATCATGAGTTTTCCCCTCATTTGCTTTAGTTTAACTCTACTTGTGGAGCTGTATATAGCCATTAAATCTCAGGGTAACCGTAGCTATCATTTATGAAAGCTTACAAAGTTGGAAATTAGAGGAAATGCTGGTTCAAAGTTGGTTCCTCACGGCCATTATCAAAGCAAAGTGCATCCGGGAACAAAAGGAAAGCAACAAGAAAGGCAGCTTTGCCACCCTCTGATGTTTTGATCACAACTGGAGCTACGCTTATCGGATTGAGGCGAATTTTATAGCGTTTCGAAGCTAAGACATAGGCCTACATTTCTTCTGAAGACATTGACATCCAGTTATCGCATTTTCAAGGCCAAAAAGGGACGGTCAGAAGCACAATCTGTTTCATTTTCTCGGTCAGCAACCAAAACTAGTAACGTTACTTCAAGCTTTCGACGAAAACTCTATTCTTTCACTTGCTTAAAGCTCTAAATATTTAAAGTACATTCAGTCCAGCATATACCAAGGCAAATAGCATCTAGTTTCAACAAATTATTCAACCCAAAAGCTACGCACAATAATCTGTCTTCAACTAATTACAATTTACAGCAGTATACCAGTTTAACATGTGGTGTTTTCTCATAATTTTCTTTTCAGTTTCATGCTCCAACTAGACATGCAGGGGATGATCATTCAACTACAGACCATCTTAAGCAAAACATAGAAATTTATAGCCAAAAATCCAAGAGAAAAGCTGAACCAAGATTTATATCCTCTCTCGGCTATAAAGCTGGTTCGTAGAAGCAAGTAATGCCTAAAGACGAGTTTCTTCTACTAGATCCCTCCATTTTATGCTCAAACCTCTCATGCATGAAGAAATCAAGATGTTGTACAACATATTACAGATTAACACAGAATTTTAGAGTCATTATTCACCAAAGACAGCTGAAACTTTTCCATCCCCCCCCCCTCACTCGGATGAAGCTGGAAAAATTCCAGCAAGGATCTTCGATCGGTCCTCCCAATTTCCAACTTTTCCCAAATTTCTTCAACTAAACTTCTTATAATACCTGAGATAACCATATTACATGCTTTTCTCATATTATATTTTCCATTTTTACACTGCTAATGAGCTGAAATTCATGTAATTAACTCCCGGTTGCTACAAGATAAGTTTTAGCAGAGGAAATGAGCTTCGATTGAAGAAAAATTCTGGTTTGAGGTTAAAATGATTATTTAACCTCAAACCAGAATTTTTCTTCAATCGAAGCTCATTTCCTCTGCTAAAACTTATCTTGCAGCTTGTTTATATATATATATATATATATATATATTCATTTATACTCAATAAATAAGTATTGATCACAGAGAATTTACCTCTTTCCTTTAAGAGTTAAAATTGCAGACTGACCAGATTTTCCCAGCTTTGTTTCCTCAAGGTCTGCACCAGCTATCCCTCCTGTTTTCCTTGCCTTTCTCTTCTTGATTATGATCAGCAGATGATAAAGCTAACCAAATTTTCTCTCTCGCACTCTTAGTTCCACCCCCTTGGTTCTGTTTTTGGAAAGAAAGAAAGAAAGCTACCTTGTGTTTCTTTCCTCTCGGTCACCGCCCAACTAGAAATTTCTCTCTCTTTGTTTCCTCTCGGTTGTCTTCCAGAAGATGGCTTCTTTAGGTTGCATAGTAGTTTAACCAAGATTCAGGGTTAGTTAGGTCATTGGTATTAACTTATTTGCTCACTAAGGGGCTGCGGTTTTATTATTTCATGCATTGACTCCAAACTTCATTTGTTCTAATTTATATACCCTTACAAAATTCTCGTACATTAATCTAGGAGATTTTCATACATTCGGTTTTAAAGGAAAATCAACTAGACATATAATTTATTCAACTGTATAATATATGCTACGTGTCTAGTAATATATGCAAATGACACAATTTACAATATACATACCATGTGTTTATTTGATTCATAAAAATTTTTCTACACCAATCTAGGATATTTCTAATTCTCGATTTTATAGAAATTCAATTGGACATTTAATTTAACCACTTATTCGTTATATGTAATATTTCCAATATCAAGGTAAATAAAATAAAATAAATGCAAAGCACACACCTGATTTTCTCGAGTTCTCACAGGATGAAATCTGCATCAGTTCATTATCCTATATGCCTATTGGCATGTATAATTTCCAAGGGGAAAATGCAAATCAAAATTAAATATGATACCCTAAATTCGAGTAATTTGTTTACAATTTCATTGAAAGCACTTTAATTTGAGGACGAAGTCTAGTCTATATAACAATTAGTATAGTTTGTGGCATTTGCTACTAACACAATATAATTAATTGGATTAAAGTTACTAAGCAAGTGAAAGGTAAGTGTTAAAAGTAACACTTACTAAAGATGTTGCCATTGTCGAATTCATTTTAATTTAATAGTAGGACCACTCGTCTTAACTTACTGATGGTCGGCTAATGTATGAGTTTTATATGAAAATAAAATCTAGAATGTATGATTATTCAAAATGTGATCAATTTTAAAATATACATTGCTAATTGAATGTAAATGAATTATTCCATCATGTACAACTTAATCATTCATTATGCTTGTCCTTTTTTTTTTTTTAAGAAACTACCCTTTAAATATTAGTTTTTTTCCTTTTTCTTACAACTCAATTATCTCCTTAAAAGCTAAAAAAGAGCCTTTAAATTTCACAACAAAATCTTAATTCAGTATATCATGTGACATATAATTCTTGAATTCTTTATGTAAATAATTTATTTAAATGGTTTTGACTGTGTTTACTACTATGAATCAGAATAGACTCCCAAAACTTTAAGTTGCTAACGCGAGTACTAACATATTATTTTTTACCGCAACCGTCATATCATTAATGAAAATTAACATATGACTTTTTGAAGAGAAAAAAAAAATCCATTCATACTAATTGAATTGACATGTGGTGGCATAATCAACTTCAATCTCTCTCTCTCGAACCAATTCACGTATGATGTGATATTTGATATCAATATATTTACTATGCCTATGCAGTACTGGATTCTTGGACAACTCAATCACTGACTTACTATCACAATAAATTTTCATAGGATTAACTTGCTTATATTATAGAACACAAGCATGCGACGCAACCACAAAACTTGAGTAGCACTATTAGCCGCTGCAATATACTCCGCTTCCGCTATAGACAATACAGTCACCTATTACTTTTTAGAATTTCAAGAAAACACACTAAAACCAATAAAAATGCATATCCTAAAGCACTCTTCCTCTCTATTGTATCACCTACCCAATCACTATCTGCGTAGCCAAAAAACTAAATTGGATTATTTCTTGAATAAAAAATGTCATCACTACGAGTACCTCCAATATATCTCAAAATTCTCTTAACCGCCTGCAAATGTGACTGATGTGAATTTTTCATGAACCTGCTAATCAAACCAATAGCACAATTGATATCTGGCTTTGTAGTTGTCAGATACCTCAAACTTCCTACCAACTTTTAAAGTAGGTAGGATTTACATCTCCACCCGTACCCTCCTTGGTCAACCTCAATTTTTCTTCAACTGGTATCATAATTGGTTTCGTTGTATCCATCTTGAACTTCTTTAAAATGTCACCTTTATATTTTTTTTGAAATATAAAAATTTCACTGTCAGATTGAAAGCCTTCAATTCCCAGGAAATATGACATGAGTCCCATATCTGTCATCTCAAATTGTTTAATCTTGACTTCTCTGAACTCTGCAATCATCTCTAAATTATTTTTTGTAAAAATTAAATCATCTACATACAAGCACACAATAAGAATATCACAATGAGTAGAAAATTTAATATTTAAAGTGTGCTCATATAGACACCACTAAAAATCACGAGTCAGAAAATAGGAATCAATTCTTGCATACCACGCTCTTGGGATTTGTTTCAATCCATATATGACTCTCTTCAATCTATACACCTTATTTTCTTGTGGTCTTCTGACAAATTCTGCTGACTGCTCCACATACACTTTTTCATTAAGAATTGCATCCAGGAAAACTGACTTGACATCTATTTGATAAATTTTCCAATTATTTTGGGTAGTTAAAAAAATTATCATACGAAATGTGTTAAGTTTGGTAACAGGTGCAAATATTTCAAAAGAGTCAATCCTGTGTTTCTGCTTGTATCCCTTCACCACTAATCTCACCTTGTATATATCAACTTTTGCACTGGATTTAAATTTTGTCTTATATACCTACTTCACTCCAATGACTTTCTTACCAGTTGGAAGAGAAGTAAACTCCCAAGTGTCATTATTCTTTATTGCATGAATTTTTCCCTCTATTGCTTTCACCCAATAATCATCACTAGTTGCCTCCTCATAAACAATTGGGTGACAATTTGCAAACAAAATAAAATTAACAATATGCTCGTTAGAAGGAATATCATCTGGTGTAATAACATAATCCTGTAGATGAGCTGGCATCTATCGCTGACGCTGTGGACATCCAATTAACTCAATCTGTGGATCCTGAGCAATTGGTGATGGCAGAATATCATCATTAGATTCTCTTGCTGATAATTTAGAGTCACCTATGCTATTTTAGGATCTCCAGTACATTAGTCACAAACTCTTCTTTCGTCAAAAGTCACATCTCTACTCACTATCAACTTTTATGTTACAGGATTATACAGCTTGTAAGTACGGAAGATTTCACTATAACCAATACTAGTAAAAGTTGGCTGTGCATACCTTGAAGCATTTAAGGTTAGCAAAATTTGATGGAATGTTTGTCAGTAGAGTGTCATGTGTGGAAGTATACGTAAAGTATGTATATTACTAAAACGGAGAGAAATTAGATTATCAGTATTTAAATTTGAACAAATGAACTTTGTTATTTTTTTTGTCAATTTTCTTATGAATCATTAATACATTAATATTTAGTTAAAATATGAGTCATTAATGCTGAAATTACCACCAAGTATAGCATGCAAATTTGATGAGAAAAATATGTCTTTATTACATTTATTAAGATGCTTTTTTTTTCCTTTTTTAATGATAGCTTTCAAGTATACATTTTTTTTTGTGATTGTCACTAGATTTATAATTGTCTACATTTTTCGTTTAATAATGTTACTAAGAATTTGAACATGAACAAATCAAAATAAAATTGACACAGAAAAATGTACATTGCATTAAGCAAAAATAATAATCTTGTTCTTTATAATAGGATAGAATAAATTTTAAATAATCTTTTGCTTTACATTAACTTTAAATGATAACTTATTTTGACAAATATAATTTTAAATGATAAGGTTGAAAACTTGAATAGAAATAATTAAATCTTAAGTTAATTTGTCAAATATCAGTTGAAACGTTAATATAAATAGTAATAAATATAAATTCTAATTGAATTATATATGTTCAAAATATAGAGATTGAAAAGTCTGCTCAAAATAATTTAACCTTATAAAGAAATGGTAAATGCAATCTAATTTGGGTCATTGAGTAATTTAAAGCAATGCAAGTCCATAGAGAAAGCAAAAGAGAAAGCTTAAAATTCAGACAATAAAAATATGAATAAACATAAAGTCAAATGTTACTAAATATTTGAATATGAACAAATCAAAATAAAATGACACAGAAAAATGTACATTGCATTGAGCAGAAATAATAAACTTGTTCTTTATTATAGGATAGAATAGAATTTAATTAATCTTTTACTTTACATTAACTTTAAATGATAACTTATTTTGACAAATATAAATTTAAATGATAAGGTTGAAAACTCGGATAGAAATAATTAAATCTTAAGTTAATTTGTCAAATATAAGTTGAAATGTTAATGTAAATAGAAATAAATATAAATTCTAATTGAATTATATTTGTTCAAAATGAAGAGATTGAAAAGTCTACTAAAAATAATTCAACCTTATAAAGAAATGGTAAATGCAATCTAATTTGGGTCATTGAGCACATTTAAAGCAATGCCAAGTTCATAAAGAAAGCAAAAGAGAAAGTTCAAAATTCACGCAAAGTGCCACGTGTCAGCAAAGGGGACTACTACAGTAACTATTGCCTTTTGTTTATCTTATAGTAAGAAAGACACACTTCTCCTCTTTGTTATTAAGTTTTTTTTCTTAATTGATCGGGAACATGGAAATATGCAATACACCCAAAAATTTTCAGATGATCAAGAAATAGTCTTTTATCACTCCAAACTTCTTTAGGAGTTTTTTCGAAATTACTTCTGGCAGAACATCTATTTAACAGATAAATTGCACAAGAAAGTGCCTCTGTCGAAAAAGACTTTGACATATTTTTCAGTTTCAACATACACCTCACCACATTCATATCTGTCCTATTCTTTCTCTCTGCCACTCCATCTTGTTAGGGAGTGTACCTGAGAAGCAACTGATGTTGTATCCCATTTTTTTTCAAGAAAATTATCACACACCAAATATTTCTGATCCCTATTTGTTTTCAAAATTTTAATCTCACACCCACTTTGCATCTCAACAAAAGTTTTAAAAATTTTAAAAGTATCACAAGTATCAGATTTTTGTTTCAAATAATACACCCAAACTTTTCTGCTAAAATCATCAATAAAGGTAATAAAATACTTGCAA